TATTATTTGTTTTGCCTGGGTTATTAAAACTGAGAAAATATTGCAATTTTCATTTCTATTTTTTTTTTTTCTTTTTTTCTTAGTCCGAGTAAATACCAAGATATACAAAAATAAGAGAACTAAATTTATTTCTTTTTTTATATTTCTTACTTGCGTTTGAAAGAAATTAATAAGTAAACCCCAATTGATGTTTCAAGTTGCGACGAATTCAAACGAATACCTCCTGTTGCAACAGATTATTGCACGTTTATTCGACATAGTTGAATATCCCGTGGTCGCAGAGGCCGAGGACCTATAATAATAAAGTGACTTCCGTTCATTAATATTTTTGTCGTGTCGTAGTTTGGGGCTACGTCCCCCGAAATTAAAGGCCCAGATGGCACGAATCCACCCCTGATCTATTTCGAGTTTTCGAGCAATCTACACGACCCTCGCTAATCCCCCCTCCCCCTCCTCTTTTAGCCATATTGTATTTCATCGATTCGCAGCAGCAGTCTTGTTAATGGCGCGTTTACAACCATGGTGCCAGTGCCTCTACTTTGATTATCGATTTTGTGGATATCGTTTGCTTGCGGCAGTTCAAAGGTGCAGAGCGTGGCAGTCTGAAACTTTGTTTCTCGGTTTGGTACACGAAAACACAATAAGCCACGTTATATACTTTTTTACAAAGAACAATTTTAAACTTGAACATGTTACCAGTTAATAATATATATCATTAAAAAATTGTCCTTTTATTTGATTTTGAGGCTAGGCATGTATGCTTCCATCCCTGTCGTTATTTAGGAAACGTCGCTTAGTATGTGTATTAAAATGGTACACCTTCGGTACAAACCTATCATTTTCATTTTCAAATGTATTAACTCTTAATTTCGAATCGCGAGAGTTAAAATTGTACGAAAACGTACTTATCATATTCTTCTCCTACGATCTTTAACGTAACTGTGAGTTTACATTAAACGTTCGTATTTTGCTTTCGCATTATCGTGTCACATCGATTGTGCAATTTGAGTTCAAGTTTAATTTCCCTTCATTCCGATATCCGGACCAATGTAACACCTTCAATATTATCAATATTAACTTGCCTCTTGTTGCAAGATGGAATGACGTCAACTCACGAACCCAGTGCCCCGCATGGCAACTGCCAAGGCGTGTGTTGAGCCAGGACGCAAGGACAGACGCCGCGCATAGCGCACGCGGTTCACACATATTCACTATACACAGATACACGCGGATGTTTCCCTAAGCTCGTGTGCACAGCCCTCGTGCTGCTCCACACTTCCCTCCTACTCCCCCTTCCCTCTCCTCTTCCCTTCTTTACACCTTTTGTGAACTCTTCCTCCTTTTTTTCGAATTTTTCCTTCAATCTCATTTACTCACTCTTTTTTCCCTTTCTTTCGAACGTACCAACGTTTCCTTTTTTTCAACTTGAACGCACTAAGAAGCTCGATCAACGACAATCGTAATTTGTTGATTGCAATGTTAATGAAATTTTCGATAAAGTTTCGTATGTTTCTTCTTCCTCTTCTTCTTCTATTTTTCTTTAATGTCGCATCGACAGCGAGAGGTCATTAGCGACGACGGCGCCATTAGATATCTGTGGTAGTTTATGTTTTTTGAGATATTTTACATACACTTTGTATGTCATTTTGAGAAATCAGGTCTATGTTTGCGTTGATTCCGTATTTCTGTCTTTGGATTTCTGTTGTGTGGCATTCGTGCAGTATGTGGGTTGTTGTTAGTGGATGGCTATTGCAACGAGTGCAGGTGGTGTAGTTTTTTTTGAGTTTGTTGTGGCCGGTTCTTAAGCGTGAGAATTTATAAGCAAGGCGTTTAGTAAATAGGCGTTTGGTATATTTATAAGTTTTAGTTTCCTCGCGATATTTTCCCTCGATCGTGGCATTTCTTTCTTACGTTCCATCACACCGAAACGGAGCATCATCTTTTCTCTCGATCCCTCCGTGTACCATTTCTCCGTTTCCTTCGGTGTCGCGCAAGGCGCCGCAATTACGGATACGTCACTGAACGGCGCGCATCATCATTGCAGGGTGAAAAAGGCGAGAAGGGTTCATCACGTCTCGTTTCATTTTTATGAACGTGGCAGCTGTCTTTTATTTGTCTTCTCTCGCACTGGCGGCTGCGAATCATCGTTGCGAATCAACCATCACCGCGTGTAAGCTCCGCGACAGGAAGCTCTTTAATCTCGTTGGTCAACTGATAAAAATGTCTGCCAGCGACCGACTTACGAATTGCTGGGTTACGTCACCATGGGTGTATTTGACGTTTGACTTATGGTCTGTTGGGTGAGTTCGGTGCTTCGACCTGCTTACACTACGCTCCACGCATGATTCTAGAAATGAGACTAAAATATTGTCGATTTAAAATTAATGAATTGATCATGTAGGTGATAATTGAAAATATTTCGAACAGTGGTTTGTCCGACAGATGTTAAATATTTTAATGTTTTGAGATGATGTAATCAAACTCGTCACAGTATCTCGAGTTTAACTCCTTCTGTATCTCCTAAGCTAAAAGTCTACGAAGAAAATTTTGAGCAGCGTAGCATGGTACATAGTCTCCTTCCGGTCTACATTTTTTACTGTTAACAAATTCCGATAACGCCACAGTTGCCACAGATAACGTCGAGGACCACCATCTACACGCATACTTTATTTCATAAACGTTTACTCGATGCCCTTGTGTCGATTCCAGCCGAGACGTATTTATGCGAATGTACACGTTTCTTAAATCGACGATTAACATGCGTAACTAGAGCCTGGGAAAAGAGAGGGTGGCGCCGAAAGGGGGGGGGGGGTCAGCACCAGTAAACTTAATTACTCGGCTGTTAGTACGCTTAAAACAACACACGATAAAATGCCGTGGTACGACCGATGTTATCTCGCGGCTCTAACGATCACCGGTTGGCCCCCTGTAATTTTCAATCGTTTCATTACGACCACGAAGCGCCGACGAAGTGAAACGAAGCTCGAAGAACCGCCGAAGAATCCGATACAGGAAGAGCCGGCGGTAATTTATGTTCGTGTTCTTCTTTTTCTTTTTTTTTTTTCGGCCAGTTACCGACTCACGGGCACGAATCCAGTCGCGGTCGGTAACTCGGAGTTTTCGAGGTGTACAGCGTTAATACGAGCGAAATTACAGGGTACTCGCGAGTCGCGAGTTCCTCGTGCCGAATACCAACAGCGGCCACGCTCGATGGTTCTCAATCGCCTTTCGGGAGAAATCGTGAACGCGAGAGCGCGTAGGACGAGGCAGGCACGGGGGCGGATGAGAACCCGGAAGGTGGATTCTCTCCGTGCACATCAAAGGGAAAAACCTGTCTGCGCTGTCGGAACGACCTGCATTCATTCTCAGGCATACCGCTCTGCCTTCCACCCAGACGTATACGGCGTCTGTTTCGTTGGCCACGGTCCCGTTCGGGGCGTTTCAGGCCGCGTAGACGACTAATTTGTCTTTTCCAACCGCGCGCATAATGTTATTTGACGACAGCTTATCATTTATTTCCCTGACATTCCTCGCGGACGTTTCTCGAGGGTGGATGGATTCTTAACCGCATTTGATGCTTCCTTCTTCTCGACTCCACTTGGTAGCAGCTTAACAGCTTAGAGGAACGAATGCCTTTATGAATATCGCTAACAACTTTTAATTAACCTGTTGCGCTGGAACGACGTGCCACGCACGTCGAGAACTTGCTGTTCCCAGAATTATTATGCAATATTTTCTCAGTTCTAAGTATATTTAAAACAAATAATAAGTTTATCACCTCTCGATAATTTCCATCCAGCGACACATCATACCGACGAGCTGGAAAAGAAAGCGACGAATTATCGTATACGGTTTTTGGTCACTCGTTATGGTCCGCAATCAGTTGCCAGCGCAAGTGATTAAATCTTCTATTGGCACATTTTAAGAGCACGTGAATTAACAGAATCGTGGTAACGTCGGCAAATTTCAAGTTATTATTAATAAAATTCCTGTTCCACGGCATCGTGATAATAAGTTTCGACAAACATAATGAAGAATACAGAGAGTTCCACAAGCGAGCTACACAAAATAGAAAGTGACTGATCAGCGTGAGATTACAAAATTGCAAATACCATTGACGGCAAGTGTTTACGAGAAATTGCATCGCAATTTGTGCGTCACGTGCATCTTCCCGATTCGTGCACGTCCGCGAAGAAGGAAGAAAAACAAAATAGAGAGCATCCTCGGACGGATCACGCAAACAAAAAAAGTTTTTTCTGTATAGAGAGGTATCATCCTTTCACGCGTTTATAATACAGAGTCAAAGGATATTACGTCGTCTGGCGTGATTTGGGCCAGTACGGTGCAAGCAAGGAACTGTGTAATCTGTCGCCGATTCAGGCAGAAAAGGGAGGAGGGGAAAGATTCCGGCATAATTTTTCGCGCTTCCCAAGCTACGCGTATGAATAGCGATCTCTTTTTCTTTTTTTCTTTTTCTCTATCGGAGCCAAAATCTTTATCCCGCGTCTGGGTCTCAGGACCGGCCCAAAAGAATTTCGTGACCTGTTCCACGAGCATTGCATTCATTTCCATATTCTATGTATTTAGTGTTTACGTCTACTTCGTATCCGGTCGTTGTTCTGAATAGCTGACAAAGACCGGCAGAAGCTGGCAAACTGGTAAATGAACTAGACGTCTGATATTGAGCTCGCCGTTAACTCTTTTTCATTTAATGCCGCACAATACGCCATTGCGACAGCGAATAATTGAATAAAGGGAAAATAATATTTCGTTGAAGTTATACCGGTAGCGAGACGAGAGGCACACATCGGGGTCTACGTTGAAGACGTGCACACGGAGATGCGAACAAAGTAAGCCATTAAAACTCGTTTCTATAAAAATGAACTAAACTCCGTCGAGTTAGCAAACGTAGGTTTTTTTTTTTTTTTTTTTCTTTTTACGTAGCGACTTGAACAAAAAGGAAGTAAGAAGTTAGGCACAATGTATTAATAACGTTATCCTTTTCGTTTGCAAGTCTCTGTTGCGAATGATTGTGAATGATTATATTAAATAATAACACAAGTAAAAATTTAACACAACGTCCTATGTTACATAACAGCGATCAACTAATAAAAAAGTTAATGAACAGTTTTATTCGTCGGTAAAGCGACGGAAAGAGGAATCAAATTTTATTGCGCTTAAGTTCGGAGTGTCAAGGAACCGGTACTGACTTCAAGCAATCTGGCTCTTGTTCCCCTCGAGAGGAAATTTTCTTTCAAGAGTCGATCGATGCCTCAGAAGGCAACGGCGAAATCGCGAGGCCTTGCAGAAACTTATATTCCGAATTCCCCCTTCCCCCTTTTTTCTTCGTCTTTCTCGCGTCTTCTCTTCTCTTCCGTGTCCCCGGCCATCTCCTCGATTTCTCCGTGCTTCTCCTCATCGCTCTTCTCTCCGGATCATTTGTTTTTCTTGCTGTGGCCCCCTTCTCTTTCTGTTTTGTTCCCTGAGAACGCAACGAACCCGAGTTAAGGCAAATTCACACTGAACAACGAGAGAAATTTGAATAGATCATTACGTTTCCTTCATCAAATGGACTCTTAAGGGTCTAGTTTGTAGTTTCCTTCTTTTACTCTCCATCTGTAATACATAACGTTTGTTGCAATAATTTCTTGACGATTATATTCAAGAAATTATCAGTACCTCTTTTTTTCAATTTTGTACCAGTGGAATTACAGATTTACGATGTTTAAAATTATGAATCACAATTACATGGGATTATACATCATTTGCCATCATTTCTATCAAATCATAATATTAAATGATAGTTCAGGAAAAGGGAACCAAGAAAGAATAAGGGAAAGACAAGATCACCTTAAAAACATGTGGTTTTAGCCAGATAGGGGTAGAACAATTGTAGAGAAAAGGGAAACTAGCAGGGAAAATACTAAGGAAAAGAGAAGCGGAAATACAAAGACAAAGACAGTGGAATAGAATTCAGAAGACGAGATACAATTGGAAGTATAAGTATCTGGTAACAGGAGAACTACCAAAGTACCTGAAGGAGAGAAGAAAAAATGGAGAACAGAAGGTGATAGCCAGAACAAGATGCAGCACCCTAGAAAATGGAAGTAAATTTTGGGCGAGCGAAGAAGAACGGAAATGTCAATTGTGCGAGGATGGGGAGGGAACATTAGAGCATTGGGGAGACTGTAGAGAGATGGAGACAACAAATGCAAGTCTGGAAGAGATACTGAGTGAAGAAGGCGGGAAAGAAGCAGTAAAATGGCTTAGACAAATAGAAAGGAGAAAGAAAGATAAAGAGAGACAGGGAGAAGAGAAAAAAGAAATAAGGCAGATTAAGATACTTAGGTAGACAAAAGAGTAACATAGTTAAGATAAATATAAGTATAGGACAAAGCAAAATAGGATACAAAAATATTATGTAAATATTATGACGTAAAATTTAGGATAAATGCAATGCGAAATGTGCAATGTAAAAAACCAAAGTCAATTTCAAGGCCAAAGAGGCTGAAATAAATATATACATACATACATTAAATAATAGTTGTTCACAGTCGTCTATTAATCGTAGCCTGAGGTGTCTTTTAGGACAGGAGAAAGTAGAACAATTTGTAAATATTTTTCTCAAGCCTAATGTCTAGTTTTTCAGCAACTCAAGGACTTTTGATATTGGCCACGTTGACATTGGTCACGTGTTCTAATTTTCACATATTATTCAGTATATCAAAATAACATTTTAGGAATAATTTAAAAAATTTGTAATTAATTATACATTTAAAAAAATTTTAATTTTTGTATTCATCGTATCAAATTCCTATCTCATTATTGCAATATTGTCTATCTGGTCCTAAAAAAAGATTTAGAAAAAAATGTACATTCTATTTTCGACGATTTGAAAAATTTTCTGCCAGTCTACCTTTTACATAACACAATATGCTATGGACATCCATGATGTTGGCTCTTATGGTAGATGTGATTATTTTGTTACTAAAGATAAAGGTGTTAGTTCTATTTACATCAACCCATACATTATGTTCTTACTATATATTAAATTCTTCCATAAAGACATTTAACTCTAGTAAGTTTACATAACAACCAGTCAAATAGATCCTTGTTAACCAAAAGATATGAGAAGAATGTAACCTGAAACACAGTGTAGGTCATGAACACGTATTCCATAAAAAAAGTATAGTATATTTGCAAAAAAAATATATATGTGTGTGTGTCTGTATATATATATACACACGCATATTGGTAGAGGTTGTCCCCGCCACGGACTCCACGGTGGGAAAGTATTCGCAAATAACGATGCAGACGCACCCTGAGGCGTCCATCGAACGAGAGATATTCACCAGGATTAAAGTACGTTCTCACAGGCAATACTCTCTTTTGTTTTTGAAACAAAACATTGCCCTACACCTTCTTCGTTTATCGGTCGCTGTAGTAAAATCACTGAGTGACATCGAGCCTAAAAATAATAAAATATTGTTTCGTTAGAAATTAGTAGATCTCGAATCGTTAGTTGATTTTATATTTTTACTTTTTTTTAAATCTTGGATTTTTCTGTGATTAAGTAACATGGAATATATATTATTTTATACATATGTTGTTTATATTCGAGTGTGTCCTTTTTTGTCTGACCATGGTTAATCATCTGTACTATATCAATGGATTCAGTAGAATATAATTTAAATTGTATATTTCCTTCTAGTCTATTAATTATCGTTTGAGAAGTTATTCATTTAATAGATATGTATGTGGAAACATAGAAACATATCTTACATACAAAGATACATCTACAAGCTGTTCATTTATTTATGTGTGTGTATATATATATATATACGCGCGCGCGCGCGCGTGTGTGTGTGTGTGTGTATGTATGAATATAATATGTGACAATATATACAGTATCAGTTATACTAGAATAAGAAATTAAGGAATGAAATGCATTTAGTCAGAATATTTTCAAAATGTTAGGTTATGAAATTGCGCAAGTAATTAGCATAGTTGTGCAGATGATTTTTCAAGTGGATATCTAGTACAAAGGATATTTTTCTGCAAAATGATTACATACATAAATGTAACACATCTTGATAGCAGTCCTCGCAATTCCCTTGGGATCTTGAAAATGATCAGTAGTCGATGCAGAACAAGGACATCCCTGTTTCCTCCTAACGTGCCTCCGAGATTACTCGGAAACAATTCTCCACGCTTCTCTTCGTTTTGCGTGACAACTGTCTTTGCACAACAGGAAGTTTCTCGACAGTCGTTTTATCAATTATTATTATTATTGTATCAATTTGTCAATTATTCAAATTAAAAAAGAACGTGTATATGCTTTTTTTATTATTCCCAAGGTCGATTTATTTTTTTTAATACTCTTTATCATCAAAATTCAAGCAATATTTTTCTATATATGGTAACTTTTTTGCAAAAAATGTCGTTCATTAAGTGCTGTTCATGAAGTATATGACGCAGTATGCAGCACAAGTTCCATCTGCTCTCAGTATTCGTGGCGCCAAACTTAAATTATTCATAGATTACCATTTCTTCTGATACGGATTTGAAAATTGCCTCTCGTCACAGATCGATATTAACATCTACCTAATAAAACCTGTCTAAACTTTTCATATATTCTATATGTCCTCTTTCCGGATATTGTACAACAAAAACAAATTTAAATGCGTGTTTAATCAAGAATTGGTTTGATAATTTTAAAAAAACGTAAATTTTTTACATATTTTCGTATGTAGAACAACTTCCTGTCAATTATTCACTCCTGTCTAGTCTGAAACTGGATTAGTTCAAGCTTTATTATTATTTAAGTTCTATTCTCTTGAAAGTGAAACATAAAAAAATTGTTGTTCTACATTGTTTACTTATTTTTGTACGTCAGATGACCTTCTACCCTATTACACCACATGTCTCGCATATAATTGTAGTCTATTATTTCGATTATACAAGGTGTCCCATAATCAAGTATATGATTCTACGTGAAAAAACGAGCCGAGATGAAAGAATAAAATTACATCACGTATACTTGAATTTAGTTAATTCAGTACTGAAGTGAAAACTATATAGAATAAAATTTTTTCGTTCAACGCTTCGAATGTATTTCGTTTAAAATCGTCTTAATGTAATCGACATAATGTTCGAGCTCGATTTTCCCAGGTATACTCGACAAATCTTCAAATACAATTTCCACGAAAACGAAAAGATTTCAACGAAAAAGTTTGCTGCTTTCTTTTCGACTCGTTTGCTCGCACTTTTCACTCGGTTGTACCACTGGTTACGAAACACCCTGTATATCGTCGAAGAGGGTTAACGAAAGTGCTTTCATCACGGACATTCGCCGTCCGATTATTTTTTCCGTAGGTTTGAACTTTGACTGTATGGGTGATGGAGGACGCATGCACGTAACTAAGAATGTACAGAAAGCGATATGGATGCATGTACATATACACACGTACGCTTGCCTGTGTATGTAGGGACGGTCGCCGTTTGATCGCGCCCTCAGCATACCATCTCCTCGTCCCCTGGTTCTCTATCCTTCTTTACCCTCGTTCAGCAGCCGCGACTGTACCTTTTCTCTCTTTCCCGCTGCTACTAACACAGAGCACGTTAAGGTCCGTCCTCATCGCGCAGGCTGTCGGTATACCAGCCGGTTCAGTTTAAATCCAAACAGTGACTGCTCGGGACGCCGCGCGACTCGGCTCGATTTTGAGCGCGCGTCGCGACAAGAAGAGAAACCTCTCGTCACAAAAATTCACGGAAGTTTCGCATAATGGACAACCACCAAGCCAGAGAAGATTGGACAGCCAATCGATGAGAAAGAAACGTACCTTCAATCGGCAAGAACCGTGTGCGCGAGACCGTGTGGTTGTTTAGTTTCTTTCCGTTTTCTTTTTTCTTTTTTTTTTTTTTTT